AATAACTTATTGGCAATTAGAGTTTAGACCAGGCCCACCATAGTAAAAAAAACTCCCCCATTCACCATTATACCCTGTTTGGATATCATAGCAGTTGGATTGCTCTGTGTAAGTCCCAAGCCCTTTTGGGGACTTAAGGTTGTTTGAGGCATCGACGACTTGAATGTTTCGAAAATAGCTCGATTTTCCAAAACCTTCTTCTGGAAAACGACCACTGCCCATTTGAGTTGACGTGTGTTGTCCGTTAGGCTCCGAGTTCACGACTTCACCTCCCCACTCAATCATAGAAGCACTCTCACCTAAGTATGAGAACAAGAAAGATGGCCAATATCCCAACACATACTCCTTCCCAAATTGCATCCACCAGTTACCTTCTTTTGGATCCTATATTAATTAATTAATATTGCAATTACCATTTTTTTTAAGAAAATAGGAACCCCAGAACAAAACTACTAATCTTTGAAAGAATATATATAAATATATATATATATGTGGATATAAATATATATATATGTGTGTATGTATGTATTTTTTCTTAAATAGGGTAATGGTCAAGTTAGTACTACAAATTTACACTTAAATAGTATGCAATGATTGTATGGTACAACAAACAAGGTTAATAATTAGTAAAGAAAACTGCAAGATTCTCAGTCAACATCACTATAGAACTATAGTAAATTAGTAATGATAATTTATTTCCAAGTAACATATTAATTTACCTTCTTAACACAAACATGTATACCCAGTTATCAATCTCAAAGCTTTAGATTATTAGTAAATTGAGATTTTCCAGTGAGACGGAGTGGGATACACTGATTTCTTTCAAACATGATATTTTTTAATCATAAAGTTAATAATTATTGCTTTAAAAGATACCCAAGATTTCTTCAGGATTTTTTTTTTATTATTATTATGTTCAAAGAGATATTTTTTTCATCAATGTCTTTGACTGCCAAACGTGCTCACACGAGTTATTGTGGACCATTAGATATTGGTTAGTGCCTTTCAAAAAGCGGGTGAAATTGAGAATTTACCTTCCAAATGAGAATGCTAATATCATATTGTGAATTCCTGTATGCAGAGACAGGAGAGATACTTGCACCCATTGCTATATCACTGTTGACTTGAATAAATCCCGAGCACAAAAGATTGTAACATCCCGTTGCTTGATATGCATCACTCTGAAGTTATTATTATCAAATTGAAAATTATTAAAAAAAAATTAAAAAATAAAACAAATGCTTTCTTTTCTCAACAAATGATCAGCTTATGAGGTTACTTACAGTCCAATAAGTGAAGAGTCTTGTGTTGTTGTCACCATAAAGATCTGGGCTGACCTGAAAACAAACAAAAGTGAAACAAAATTAAGTTTCAAGGCATTTTTTTCCAACTTTTCTTTAATGGAACTTGACTAAATATATGCACCTGCCAGCCAGCTTCAATGCTATTAAGATCTTGGCCAAAAGAACCACCCAAAATCCAAATCTGAGACAAGCTGAACTCATTAGGCTGTTGTATTTTCGGCTCCCAGACATTAATGGTTGCTTTTGCTCCGTAATATTTCTCCCCTTCAACATACGCTATAGCATGCTACACGAACAAAAATAATCGATCCATAAGACTACAAGATCACATGTGAACAAGAAAACAAACACAAAAAAGCAAGGAAAATACATTCTCCACAAAAAAGCTAATTTTATCTTAGTTTCTTTTTGTTTTTTCATTGCTTTTCAATCTAATTACCTGATGACCAGTTTGCGTTGTGAAATCGGGTTCGACCGACCTTGGCTTAAGGAAGCTGCTTTTGTGCTTTTTCTTGCCATAGCTTTTCACAGAGCTTGCCCTTAACACATCTTCCTTTTTTGTCCTTCTTATTGGGACAGTGTTATCTGGGCACCTGCCATTCATGTGCCATAGCTGAGTGATTGTGTTTGGTCTTTCTTTATGAACTGCTGACATCTCGTTCAAGTCGAAAAGGCCTTCCGGATGATAACTAGGCCTTGCCTAAAGTATATGGAATAAATAAATGAAGATTAATCAAACACAGAAAAGTGGATAAGACATACAACATGGGATGGATATGAATGAAATGAACCTGGATTTTGTGGTCTTTGAGAAAAGGGTGATCTAAAGCTGGCTGATGAGAGATGTGAACACAGTCAATGATATCTCCATCTGGGCTCTGTTCAATCTTCCTCCATGTTAGACCAAATTGCAAAATGGATAAACAGATGAATAAATATAAACTAGATCTTTATCTCAGCATTGGCTTCCAAAAATCTATCTTTTAACAGGTTAAAACACATATGGCACTAACATAAACCAAAGAGAACAAGAAATGGTAAATGAAGATTGAATAACAGTGAAGCAGAAACTCATAAACGAAACAAATAAGGGAAAAATGTAGAAAAATATTTAAAAAGGAAAAAACTGGGGACAGAAAAATAAGTAGAAAGGCTTGGAGATTTCAGATAATCTTATTTGTATCTGAAACTACAGAAGACAGACATGGAGAAACTATAAGATTTAGTCCACCCCCATTTCTGACCTACAGCCAACACAGCAACAGAAAATGAAAAACAAACGAAAAAGCTTCATAATAGGAAATCAAAGTAAGAGATTTTCTTCAATGGGGACCTTAATTGTTTTAACAGGAGGCTTATTGAGCCTCTTTAAGTGCTTCTGAACTTCCAGCTTCTGTCTTGAAGAAGACAGCCTCCCGGCGCATGATAGCGAGACCAGACACCATACAAAAACCAAGAAGAAAACCACTTGCATTTTCCCCCTCAACAGACCGTCGCTACACTGCGCAGCCCCCATTGTTGGTAATCTGGAACTCTAATCCAGGTGAAATTAACTCCAAAAGATTCAATCTTTAGGGCACAGTGGGCTTAGAGTAGAGCAAATAACACCAAACCCACCTCGGTTAAAAGGCTTGGGGTTAATATTTTTTTACCCTTTTGCTCGCTTACCCTCTTTCTTTTCAGTTGTACTGTTTGGTAGTGAGAGTGACCTTTGCCTCTCTCTCTCCTTTCTCTCTCTCTCTCTCTGTGAATCTGTGAAGATGATGGGGTTATTGGAAAAATCCAACTGAAGAGAAATCTGTATATTTTATTGAAGATTTTGTCTACTGTTTGAGCTGATTTTTCTTATAAAAAATTAGATAGAAAAAATAATAATTTGAGGTATGTGGACACGAGGGGCAAAAGTGGGACGGCGAAAAAGTAGGGATAGTGGATAATTTTGGCGTCCACTCATCTGCCATTGATGCTGTACTGTGTGTCGAGTTACCCGGTGGCCGGTTTTGACCTCTTCATTTTGAAATTGAAAAGAAATGAAAGAAGGTTTTGGATTACTACTAATTTACCCTTGTTTTTCCCCTCATTTACCTGCCGGCCCACCCACAACGGTCCATGGGAGATGGGACTTTACTGCAGTTAGCTGAAAAGAGATTATTTTGATAAATTTGGGCACGTGAAAAGTTTTTTTCTTTTTTTCTTTTTTAGGGTAACAAGAGAGGAGGGAATTAAGATCATCTTCAATCACTTACTCTATATTTTTAAGATGTTATTTTCGTTTTTTTCTTTTTATCTTTTTTAGGGTAACAAGAGAGGAGGGAATTAAGATCATCTTTAATCATTTACTCTATATTGTTTAAGATGTTATTTTCATTTCTAACTCTTGGCGTTATATTTACGGTAATTCCTTATAAATACCTAACTCACATTTCAACTTTTTTGTCAGTTCTCATCACTTTTAAACTTTCTTATCACTCCCTAAAGTTAATTTCTCTTTCCAAATCACTCCCCATATATATACTACTCCTATTATTATTCATTTATTTTTATTGAAAAATCATAAAAAAATTCAGCTTTCTCTCTCTTGTTCCCGTCTCTCTCTCTCAATTTCCATCTCCACCTCTCTCTGTAAATTTCCATTGCCTTCGTCTCTCTCTGTTTTTTCGCCGTCGTTCGTCTCTCTACATCTCTTTTTCCGTCGATGTTCGTCTCTTAAACATGGTAAGATTTTTAGAATTTCAATTTTGGGTTTTTTTTTTTTTCAAAATTTTGATTTTATTTACTTGGCAAGTGAATCAATTTGGGGACGGGTTTATTTTCCTTGGGAGCCTTATGCTTGGAGAAGAATAAATTGAGGAGAACTAATTTTGTGGGACTCTTTTATCTATTATTTTGGCTTTGAGGAGTTACAGCAGGAAGGAAAGTAATTTTCATCATCTCGGAGTTTTCATTCGTGAAGTGAACGGGAGGAGATCAAACATATTTTCTTCCTGCTGAGGGCATTCATGCGGGTCAGAGAGCTTAAGTTATTTCGCTGAGGAGATTGAATTCAATCGAAAATCATTTGAACTGAAGGAGTTTATTTATTTATTTTATTTATTTAAGTTTTTTTTCTTGAATTCGAAATTTTTCAAAATTTGGGATTTGATTGATGCTAATGAACTTCGTATTTGACTTATATTTCACAAATTACGAAATTTATTAATAATTTAGGGCTCTTTGCATGTCTAAGGTTCATAATTTTTTTTTTGTTTGGGCATTGTCTGAAATTACTGTGTTGATAAAGCAGATAAATTATGTAATTTCGTTCAAAAAGCAGAAAAAGTCGAATAAAAAAGGTCATCGTCTCCAAAACCCCAAATCCTCGAAAAATCAATCTCAACTCATACTTGTTTATTTTCTTTCAATTACTTGTTTTACCTTAAATTACAGTCCGATTGAAGATGATTGCAGTTGGTTTGATGGTCTATGGTGCGAATTTTTCACAAAAATCGAAGAAAGCGGCGGAGATTGAGGCGGACGGCTAGAGTACGGGCGGAGATTGGATAGGACGACATAGAACATGATGGCGACGATGTCGACCTCGGCCGCGGCCAGGGACTCCAGCTGGCGCCGCCACTCGCGGTGGTTAGAGTACGGATAAAGATCAGATAGGACGGGGGATATTAGACGGAAGGTGAGCGGAGGATCGGCTCGCTTTTCCAGGAAGGGAATTCGGCAACGGACCATATCCAACGGAGCTCCGGAAGGTGAAGCTTTGTTATTGGGCACAAAATGATTAAAGTTTAAGGTCCAGTAGTTTAAAGGTTAGCTTTGTTATTGGGCACAAAATGATTGTTTACAGGTATGGTGAAAGAACTTTCGTGTTGGAGCTCCAAAATTGGTATTGTTATTGGCTTTTTCCCCTTTTCTTGTAGTTCAAGATGGTTATCTGCACAAGCAGAGAATAAAATAAATTGAAATGTGTGTCCTATATTGCTAATTTTCATTTTTGGCTATTATTCTTCAATTCCTGCGTATGATTGTGGTTAGCTGTTTTTTTCCCAAATGTTTATGGTTAGTCTGTGATTATTCGTATTGCTATCTATACTCTTTATTCTTGCGGCATTGGGTTTGTCATTATATTTCTGAATGTTTTATGAAGAATTTGTGGGTTTTGGATTGTTGGTTATGTTCAAAAATGTTTTGTTAAGTCATTTTATTGGCACTTTGATGTTTGAGGTGCTGATTAGTTGGATTAATTTAGATTGTATTCAGTTGAATATCTCTTTTGATTGATTGCTAAATACGAACTGTCTATTCTAGTATGTCGTCTATTTAGAATCATTCATAACTCAAATAAATATTATTAGAATTGTGAACTGCAAATAAATATTATTAGATTCAAACTGAGACCTGATGGCAAAATTATGGTTGAGTCTTGAGAATTATGGTAGAAATACTGTCTCTAATGAATACTCTTATCAAGTAATTGTGATTCCTAATTGCCTATCTGAGGTTGTATTCAAATGTCACGTGAGCATTATAGAAATTCACCATTTTTCATAGAAATCTGAGTGAAATCGAGTATTTGTTTGTTGGTTTCTGAATTGGATTNTAATTTGTTTACTGGGTTTGAGATTAAGAAATGAAAAGGGGATGTATATATATAGTGGAGTTTGTGGAATAGAAAAAAAAAGGAAAGGCGTGCGAAGAAGAATTTCTAAAGTCGCGGTAGAGGGGAAGAAGATTGAGGCGGAGGCGCGACGCCTAATTTTGAAAATATTGATCAAATTTGAAATAATCCATTTTTTGTTCTTTCTACAAAGTAGGTACTAATTGATCAATAACTAGTACTGCATAGAAGAAGACACTGTATTATTTGTGGTAAAACCGGTACTATTTTACAAAATTCATTTTTTTTTTCTATGGTCGTCGGAGTTGGTACTGAAGACCTGATATCTGGTACTCGAACACCATAATATCGGTACTATCTTACTCTAGGTCTGGTACTAATTTTGCAAATGTTGACCAAAATTGAAGTAATCCATTTTTTGTTCTTTCTAGAAAGAACAAAAAATGGATTACTTCAATTTCTACCTATATGTTTTAATTTCCACTATATGTTGTCAGCGAAAATATATTATTCAATTGTGGTCAGCATTTGCAATAATTGGTACCAAACTTAGAGTATGATAGTACCATCTTTCGATGTTTTAGTACCGGAGATTGGGTCTTTTGTACCAATTGTAATGATCACATAAAAACACCGAATTTCAGTCTCAAATGATGTTTATATGACCAATAATCACTCTCACAGTATTTTCTATGAGATTTAAAATGTTTTAAATTGAGTTTATCGTAAAATGGTCATGAACTCGACACACTAATGAGAAAACACTACTAATACACTTTATTTCATTAAATGACACACTTCATCCCATAGAATCATCAATTCCAAATTCTACCTGTATGTTTTAACTTCCACTATTTTTCATCCAAATCAGGCGTGAACAATCCACGTGTCATGGTAGACATTAAGGATTAGAGAAATCACGATTCTCAAAATAGTACCAGAATTAGCCAATATAGTACCGCATATTCTTCTACGTGGTACCTGTTTTGGATCGATTAGTACCAACTTTTGGTCAATGAAAATAGATTATTCAATTGTGGTCAACATTTGCAATAATTGGTACTAGACCTAGAGTAAGGTAGTACCATCGTTCAGTGTTTCAGTACCAAATATTGGGTCTTTAGTACCATTTGCAATGAACACATAAAAACACCAAATTTCGGTCTCAAATGATGTTCATATGACAATAATCACTCTCACATTATTTTCTATGAGATTTAAAATGTTTTAAATTGAGTTTAATTGCAAATTGGTCATGAACTCGACACACTAATGAGAAAACACTACCAATACGCTTCATTTCATTGAATGACACACTTCATCTCAAAGAATCATCATACATGACTACTCCAAATTCTACCTATATGTTTTCACTTGCACTATTTTTCATCCAAATCACGCGTAAACGATCCACGTGTCATAGTGACATGAAAGATTATAGAAATCACTATTCTTAAAATAGTACCTGTTTTAGCCAATATAGTACCGCTTCTTCTTGTACGTGGTACCTGTCTTTAATCAATTAGTACCAACTTTTGGTCAGCAAAAATGTATTATTCAATTGTGGTCAGCATTTGCAATAATTGGTACCAAACTTAGAGTATGATAGTGTTGGGATCTGTGAGGATCTCGTTATGTACAAATCACGAATTCAATAGCAAACGTAAACCTATGCGCAGCGGATCTAAAGGTTTGACGTAGAGAACTTACGGCTTAAAATTTATGTAGATCTGGTTGACCACGAACGGTTGACCGCAATTGATTGACCGCAACACGCGTCTTGGGTTGCACGAACAAGATCAGATCAAAACTGGATCAAACGGATGCAAACAGATCAAAACGAAATTTTGCTGCCAGACACCTTCCGGCGGCGCGTGAGGGCGCGTGCGGCGTCGGATTCCGGCGACGTCGGCGGCGATGGAAAGCTCTCGTCGAGACGGTCGTCTGGGTATACTGTACGTCTCAATCAGACTTCCGATTAGTTCTGTAGGTCAAAATATATTTTGTCTCGTTTTACCTACAGATCTTCTACTGTATTACTCAATACACCCTTCTTCAACTTGTACCAGTGGAGCAACAAGAAGAAGATAAAGCTCGAATGAGATCTAGAGAGAGAGACGTGTTTCACGTGAGAATGAGACTTCTATTCTCTTCTCATGAGCTTAATGATGTATATATAGAGCTACAGTAGGGATCCTAAGGAGATTAGGAAAAGGGCTCCTTAATTAATTAGACTAACTGTGGGCCAAACCCACTCCTCTAATTAATTAAATAATATTAATGGGCCACCAACATTATATTATTGCACTCCCTTTCCCTAGCCCAAATTACATTTGAGACTCCAATAATAATTACTCGATTTACCTCCCCACGTTTAAGATATAATGTCCATAATTAATTCGAT